ATGCCTAGCTCACCGACTCAATCAATCCCTTTGGGTGGCTCCTCCTCATGCCAAATTCTTCTCTCACGTGAGAATTTCATATACCCTATTACTATTACAGCTCCTCCTACCATGGAATCATCTCTCGAACCCATGCGAACCATACCATAGTCACCCATTCGCAAAATAACATACACAAACTGAAGAAGCTCTTTGTGACTACTACTCACTGTCCCAGTGCATCACTTGAACCCTCATGTGTCTCGCAAACAATGAAAATTCCTGAATGAAGAGCTGCTATATTGGAGGAGTTTGATGCATTTATTTGGAACGGCACTTGGCAACTAGTTCCTTCCCATCTAACTCTGAATCTTATTGGTCGCAAGTAGGTATTCCGTGTTTAATTAAACGAAATCCCGAAGGCTCAATTTCACGCTACAAAGCTCGTCTTGTAGCAAAGGGATTTCATCAGCGCCCTGGAATTGATTATACAGATACAGTTAGTCCCGTTGTCAAGCCAACGACGATTCGGGTTGTTCTTTGTTTTGCACTTTCTCGTGGTTGGCCACCTCGCCAACTTGACGTGAGCAATGCCTTTCTTCATAGGCATCTCACTAAGGAAGTTTACAGGTCTCAACCTCCGAGTTTTATTAATCCCACATTTGCAAGATATGTTTGTAAATTGCATAAATCTCTATACAAACTCATGCAGGCACCACGAGCGTGGTATACTGAACTTAAGAATTTTTTATTATCAGCAGATTTTTCAATTTCTCATTCGGATACATCACTGTTCATATACTCTCATGATGGAACTTTAATTTATTTGTTAGTATATGTTGATGATTTAATTATGATGGGTACCAGTACATCCATGATTCACAACCTTATTGCTCAGCTTTCAGATAAATTCTCTATCAAAGATCTTGGGGCTCTCAACTATTTTCTTGGTGTTGAGGTCGTTCCCACTCGTTAAGGTCTTCTTTTGTCTCAACACAAATATATACAAGATCTCCTTGATAGAACTGCCATGCTTGAGGCAAAGGAGGTTCAGACACCCCTATCCACAAACTCATCTCTCACTATTACTGCTGGTTCCAACCTCTCCGACGCCACTTGAGTATCGACGAGTCGTCGGCAGTCTTCAATATTTGTCAATCACCCATCCGGACATTGCATTCACAGTAAACAAGCTCTCGCAATTTATGCACAAGCCCACTACTTTTCATTGGGCTACTACCAAACGTCTTCTTTGATACCTCAAGGGCACGATGTCTCATGGTCTACTTCTAAAAAATAACTCTCCACTACATCTTCATGCATGCCTTCTCGGATGCTGATTGGGCGGGAAATAAAGATTATCGTACCTCCACCAGTGCCTACGTTAACAACGTTTTGTTGCTCGTTCCTCAACCGAAGCCGAGTACCAATCAGTTGTAGCAACAGTAACTGAATTAGCATGGATTCAATCCTTACTAAAGGAACTTTGTGTCACACTCCCGCAACAACCTGCTATTTACTGTGACAATGTGGGAACCACTTATTTATGCGCCAACCCCGTGTTTCACTCTAGGATGAAGCACATCGCTATTAATTTTCACTTTGTTTGTGACAAGGTTACTAGCTAGAAGTGAACTTCGTGTCTCCCATGATTCGACAAAGGACCAACTCGTGGATGCTCTCACAAAACCAATGTCCAGGCAGCGACTTTTGTATCTTCGGTTCAAGATTGGTGTCTCCGATGGGAGCACCATCTTGCAGGGGCATAGTAGAGATACTTATTCATCAATCAAGTTTCAATCGTCAATGCGATCATTGGCTAATTTACTGCAACATTTATATAAATAATTTCTCAATTATAGCACCAATTTATATAATTAGTTTTTACTATTTTTGATAGTTGAATGTATCATATAATTATGATCTGTCTTTATTTATTTACCATACTTAGATAGGATTTTACATGTATATAATTAACTCAATGAAACAATAATATGTGTGTGCATTATTTCACTTTCTTATTCCTCTTTATTTCTTATACTAAGAACAGTTAGGTTGCTGACTTTGGCAAAAATTTTCAATAATTTGTTTTTTTTTTTTTTCCTTCTCAATAGTAATTCATTTAAAAAACAACAAAAACAAAACAAAAGATATGCATTGGCCAAGGGTATATGTTTTGTTTCAACTTTTTTTTGGATACAAATAATTTCGTAGGGGTTGGTATCCCAAAGTGTCTTGTCCACTTTGCATACACTCCATATTTATATATATATTTTAAATGTATCTACTTCGTAGGAGATGTTCAAACATACGAGTGACAACAACTTCTTCCCAGGTGATGTGGGAGGTCAAAATATATCACTCCTTGAGTCCTAGTGTCCTGATCAGTGATCTCATGAATTTGTCGTTCCTTCCATTTTTGACTCGAAATTGATTTTGACACCAATACAAAAAGAGTGAAAAACGAATTATATATATATATGATGCGAGTAGGTCATGACAAATGGTAGGTAAAATCTATAATCCTTTTAAATCTTAAAAAACATTGACAACCAAAATTTCATATAAAGACAATAATAATAATAATAAAAGATACTCAATAAAACTAAATTCGTAATCACCATAATTCAGCTTATTAAAATTAAATGTTTCATGGATGACATACTTTTTATCCTTCACCACTCCATAATCACTTTTTAAAATGTATATATATATATATGAAGCAAGTAGGTCGTGACAAATGGGAGATAAAATCTATAACCCTTTTAAATCTTAAAAAACATTAACAACCAAAATTTCATATAAAGACAATAATAATAATAATAAAAAGTTACTCAATAAAACTAAATTGGTAATCACCATAATTCACCTTATTAAAATTAAGTGTTTCATGGATGACATACTTTTTATCCTTCACCACTCCATAATCACTTTTTAAAATATATATATATATATATATATATATATATATATATATGATGCGAGTAGGTCGTGACAAATGGTAGGTAAAATCTATAACCCTTTTAAATCTTAAAAAATATTGACAACCAAAATTTCATATAAAGACAATAATAATAGTAATAAAAGTTACTCAATAAAACTACATTGGTAATCACCATAATTCACCTTATTAAAATTAAGTGTTTCAAGGATGACATACTTTTTATCCTTCACCACTCCATAATCACTTTTTAAAATGTATCAATATTCACATATATGAATGACAACTTCTTTCCTAAATGACGTGGAATATCACCATCATTCTTTGAATCTGGCATCTCACTAAGAGCATTTCTAATGGTTGTATATATATATATATTTTTGTGTAAATTTGATATTTCATAATAGATTTACACAAAAATTTTGAATTATTATTTTTAACTGCAACAATTGTTTTATATCTTTTGTGTAAAAATATATCTCTTAATAACAATCAACTAGTGTTATACTTGGATCCTACATAATTTTTATAAACCTACTTAATATAAGGTTGATAAGTTAATGGACTGAGAAAGAGGGAAGATAAATGAAATATACTGATGTGACTTTGTAAAAAGGTTGTGTAAAATACATAACAATTTTACACATTGGTAACGTGGCCGTGTATCTTAACAGACTACTGAAGATAAAAAATATATATATATTACACATCATACGTGGTAGTATATATTTTAACAAAAAAAAGAAAAAAAATTAACAAACTGTTAGAGATGCTCTAATCTGACCTGAGATTACAAACGTTCTTCTCATTTTTTATTAGAAATTGATTATGATATCAATACGAAATTAGTGCAAAGCGAATAAAAATAATAATAACACTAATAATATAAAAAAAAGAAAAGAAAAACTTGACAGCAACTTTGGCCCAAGTTTCATATACAGATAATAATAATAATAAGTTATTCCATAAAACCAAATTGGTAATCACCATATATAATTCACCTAATTAAAATTAAGGGTTTATGGATGACGTACTTTTTATCTTTCATCATATTGTGGGATGGCATCATCAATTCATCATATATTTATCTAAGGACTTCATCTTTAGAAAAAATGATGTATTTTTACTCTTCAAGGCAAAAAAAAAAAAAAAAAAAAAAAACACGTTCTTATCTATTAGGCTTGAAAAATTAGTATATATATATTCAGACGCCCTAGCCCATTTCAACTCATCCGTTCTTGAAGCCCTTCCATGGACGGCGGCCATGGTTGACCCAAGCACCACGAATTCTTCTTCAGATGATCGTCCAGAAGCTGGGCATAGCTCCACGGTCCAGCCGGTTAATTCACAGACACCTCTCTCAGGCCAGCCCCGAATAATGAATCGGGTTGGCCAACTTCTTCGTGAAGCAGTTCTCACTTATGTAGAACCCATGACCACAGGAGTTCTTGCCGTCTTGTCGACTTTAGTGTCCCTCATTATCGGCCTGACAGCACTGTGGAATGGTAACATGTTTTCTGACGGTGTTGAATTATTTGGTGCCGTTTCTTTAATGTTTGCTTTCTTCTCCGTGGTTGCCTCTTTGCTTCCACCAAACCTTGCTTGGGTCCCCTGGACCTGCTTTGTTGGCGTCCTCGGAGCCTTTTTAATGAGCTGAATTCCGATCAGACTTAGATCGAACTAGGAACCAGTCAACTGAGAAGCCCTCTAGTCTCGCAGTGTAGTTGATATTGTTTATATTTGTTGGTTTTGTTGGGAGTTTCCATTTATAGGCTTTTTCTTTCTCCTACTCCTGCTTGCCAACTTTTGGAAGTGGGTGTTTTAATTTGGTTGTAACTGGGGATCTCCTTGTTGTTTGCTATATATATAATCAGGTTGGTTAATAAAAGTTTGCTCAGGAATATATATATATATATATATATATATATATATATATATATATATATATATATATATTTGAGTCTTAGAATAATGATTGATCTTGGCATATATGGTGGCTTGAAGAGATGGTCCGATTTTCATTCACCCAATGATATATTGGAGTCATTAAAATTGAAGATCATATCTGGTTTGAAAACAGGTACATTCATGATTTTCTGGAGACGTGCAATTTCAATCTCTATCTGGATTAAAGTCGATCCCACAAAATATTTGGATAACATCGTAAGAATGGTAAAATTCGACTCATGATTCTACTCTTATTTTTTTTATTATTAATTTTTTGTGTGTGAATGATGATTGTACAGATTTACTTATAAGCTCTTTTAATTCTTATTATAGGTCTTTAAAACCTGAAATCCAAGTGACATTAAATGCAAAGATTAAGACCAATCAGGGGTCCTAAATCATGAGACAATTATTAATTACAATTTCATTTTTTCTGATAGTGACTAAATAACTACTTTCTAGTATGGTTTAGACTAGTCAAATCCCTCAACATTAATTATTTGTCACTTAATTTCTAATAAAGCTAGTGGAAGTTAGACAGTTGTCTTTAAAAACTTTTGTAATTCTCGGTTTGTTAATATATATATATATATGTGGTTAAAGAATATGCTTGTGTATATGTAAAGAAGAATGTTGAGTCCTTGAACAGGGAAGAGAATAAGAAAATAAACACAACTTCAATCTTCAAAAAGAAGTAATCAACAAAAGAAGTAAAACCCTAGCAGCAGCATCCAAAATGACCACCATTTGCTTTCATAGCATGACATCAAAGCTAACATTGTTAGGACAGTAGCCAGGACTGTCCAGAAGCTATGGAAAAACCCTGCGTGAAGAGAAGATGAAGCTTTGACAGAGAAGTAATTTGCCTCAGGTTTGAACTACTTCTTAGTTTAATGGTAGCAAGTCTAGCTCTGACGCAATTCTTGACTTGAGAAATAATGTGATGGGAAGACGATGTCTGGTTTTTGAATGCCCATGCATTCCACTCCATCCAGATAAAATAGATTGCAGCAGACCATAGAAGTTTATGAATCAAATACCCTGCAGATGAACTCCAATGTGATGAACATTACTGAACCATATCTAACCAACAGTTAGGCATGATGTAAAATCCAGCAACCCGTTGGATTACTTCCATATGTGAGCACTGAACTTTACATTTAAAGTAATTGAAGTTAACTTGGGCTAAAAAAAAAAAAAAAAAAAAAATCAACCTTACATTTAAAGAATAAATGGTCAATAGATTCCCAATCTGAGTGACAGAGATAACAGTAGTTTGTATAATGCTTGTAAAGCACTGGTTTAGGATCAAAATTGTACAATCTACCTCTTACAACTAACCATAGGATAAAACCATGCTTTGGTATATGATGTTAATTTGAACCGCACAATTTTATTCCATACAAAAATTGGGGAGGGAGAGGTGTAGTAACTTAAGGTGTGTGACATAGAGAACACTTTGGTAGGGCTAGGCAGCCATTCAATGTAATCTGGAATAGATGATGGTGGAAGCAGCTCTTGTAATTGTGAAATGAAACTTCTAGATTGGAAGAACTAGTACAGCTGTATTGGACTAGGATGGACCCATTGATTATTGAAAATTAGGCTATCAACTAAAATCTGAGTGTGAAGTTAAAGAATTTCCATACCAGTGAGTCCCAATTGCTGCACAATTAGACCATTTGGCAACCATTAGTCTAACCATAGACTAGCTAGTATCAGTGCGTGCCCCCACTTTATGTCTTATTAGCCCTTTTGTCATTACCCTCAGCTTAAGAAGCTTCCTCCAAAACCCTGTACTAAGTGTAGAAGCCTTTACTGCATGTCTAAATGTTCTTCACCTTGATAAAATAATTGTGAGACCAAGCCACCCAAAGACTAATATCCTTCTTCAAACAAAGCTTCGAAATATGCTTTAAGTTTGCAATAATGTTTGACAACTCCAAATCTGGGAATCCTAGACCCCTATTGACTATTGGCCTACAAATATCTTACCAAGCAACCTTAGCTTCCATATTCTTCATATCCACCCCAGACCAGAAAAACACCTTAGGACTTGATTAATTTGATCAATAACCTTCTTTGAAAGAACAAATGCTTGAGACCAGTAAGCTTGAATGACACATAGTACCGACTTAATTAGCATAACCCTCCCAGCATATGAAAGAAATCTTGATGTCCAATTTCCAACCCTAGCAGTGATCTTTTCTGTAATGACCTGGTCATTTTCCTATTTTCCAACATTCTTTTTTTTTTTTTTAAGTAACCTTAGGGTTTTGGAGACTAGAAGTAGGGTTTTAAGTTCGGTTTTGAGTTCAGATCTGACTTCCAACTTCACGTGCATCTATATTATTTTATTTCCATGAATGCATAGTCTTACTTTTGTAGAAAAACATACTACTTATTTACTTTTCCCGTAGGGGTATGGATGTATAGTTTCTTCGGAAACATTTACACTTTTGGTGGTACTTTGTGTACTTATATTTTGGAAATTATTTTTGTCTTAGGGTCTATTTTGCAAGATATTTTGGGATAGAACCATTTTGTAATTTTTTAAAAGTGTGACAAGTGTCACACTCTCATTGGACCACTTGTAGGCATGTTGGTGGAGAGACTCGGAAGCTTGTTTTGGTGACAAGTGTTGGGTGTAGATTCACCTACTTGTTGGCCTTAGATTGGAACACTTGTTAGCTTGGGATGTTGACAAGTGTAGGCTTGTGATTAAGCCTTGTGAAGGTGCTTTAGATGGTGACAAATGGAGGGTGAAGATATATATTCACCCACTTGTAGACTTTTGGTTGGTGCACTTGTTGGCTTAGGTTAGTGACAAGTGTAGGCTTGAGATTAAGCCTTGTGAGGAGCCCTAGGATTGTGACAAATGGAGGGTGTGGATGTGTTTGTGTGTGTGTGTGTTTGGCTAACATAGCCATTGTGGGTGGAAAAGTTAGAGATTTTGTTGAATCCTCTCAAAGCCACCTTACAGCCAAACAGAACCCTCTTTACCATTTTTCAGAGTTTGAACCCCTTGCCTTAGGAATTTGATCTTAAGCCTTGAAGATCATAGCTTCCTATCTTCTTGATCTAGAACGCCTTTTTCCAGTTTTACATTATGATGTTGTTTGCATGGGATTCCAGATGGGTGAATCTCGAGTAGGCAGTTTGGGGAATCCTGAAACCTATTTTTCCATTTCTAAAATTCGAAACCTTTGCTTGAGGATTTTGGTCATCAACCCTGAAGATTAAATCTTCCTCTCTTCTTGATCTAGAAGACCATTTCTCAGTTTTACGTTTTGAGTTCATTTGCCTTGGATTCTAGAGGGACAATCCTATAATGAGGTAAGGGTTGATCGGTCTCGTCGACTATCAATAATAATCAACCCTTTGCAATAGTATAAATCATTGTAAAATAGGGCTATTGGATGGGTAAGTCGAACCATTGGGATTGCTAGTTTATGACAACCAAGATTGTAAAATCACTTTTAGTTTGATGAAAAGGGGGTGTAAGAGTTGGTTTTGTTTATCACTTCGAAATAGGAATTAAAGAATGCATAAAACAATAATTACAAGGAAATTGAGGGAGAAAAACTTAGGTAAAAAGGACTAGGGAAGTGAATCCACTACCTACCCTATTAACATGCTAGATGGTGATTAACATGGGGAAACAACATATATAGTGGTCATGATATGTAGCAACACATGGTTGCTACATTATCTTCAAGAAATTTATTAAATCAAAAGGCAAGAATAACCTATCAAAGTTTCATATGCTTGAACTACCTAAACTAGGGTGTAGCCTTAGACATGCTCACTAAGTTAGAGATTATCAAGCCCTTAATCAAAAGATAAAGCACATGAAGCTAAAAATCAAGCATAGACCATCAAGGAAGGACTTAAGCCATGGACTATCAAGGTTCTCCAACAACATGCCATTAAAACCATTTCACAATCTCATTTCCATTGTCACTATAAAAATGCAAGCAATATAATCAAGAGAGGAAACAATCTAAGACAAGATAATCAACTCAACAAGATCATTTATAGACATTAAAATACATTACAACAAGTAAGATGCTCTAGATCATGAAACCACCATATATACATTCCATTCCCCAAATTAAAATCAAAACTAGAGTATGCTTACAAAGTAGGACTGCATCACTTCCCTAGAAAGGGAGTTAGTTACCTATAGGAGCAGTGGAGGAAAGAAAAGAGTGGAAGAAGCCTTCCATTTTCATACCTAGAGGACCCAAAACACACAAACCCTAAAGCTCCTAATATTTCTCTCTCTAAAACCTTACAAAAAATGTGTCCTCTCTATATCCATGCTTCAAGCCTCTTATCTAGCCAAAAACATCCTCCCAACCACCCATTTTCGTAGCTTCACATCCCTAGAAGAGTGCAGAGCCACACAATGGGTCAATGGGACAGCATTGGATGAAACAATGCAGCCCATGCACATTTGTCTGTAGATTGGCGAGCGCCCGCGCAGTGTCACAACTATGCTTGGCGAGGGCTTGCAACAAGCCGCGGGGCCCTGCAAAAATCGAACTTCACTGGATGATTTGGCGGGCACCCGCTTGGTGTCAAGGGGCTCGAGGGTGGTCTTCGATGGGGGCCCGTGAGGCATGGCGGGGCCCTGCGATTTTTAAAGCATTCTGCCCTGTTTGGCAGGCGCCCGCAGGGCTGCTGAGGTCCACTTTGCTTCAAGAAATGATCTTGGCTTAGCTTGGCCCGATAACGTGAAAATCATCCTTAACGCTTCCTGCAGGGATAACCGTGAGTCCAATGGATCACAGGCTTGGCCAAAATGGAGGTCTTCGGCAACGGCATGCTTTGATTCTTCAAAAATTCATCAAAGCGTCTCTTTTAACTCTCTTTGGGGAACCAACCTGAAAGTAGACAAAAACACGCAAATAAAGCTAATATGTACAATAAGATCAACTAATGGACTTAACTAATGCAAATAAGGGCGCTTGAATATGCAATCCGGCGCTTATCACACCCCCAAACTTACATTTTGTTAGTCCCATAGCAAAACCAAAAATGAAATTCTTGACAAAATGACAACATTTGAAATGTTATCTACATGCATCAACATGGTGCAAGAAAATTCACACACAGAGCTCACTAGCAACTTGGAACAAACAGAAAATTAGAGGCGGAATCATTATACAGACTACCTTACGTATATGAAGCCTTGATATAAGAAAATGACTAAACATACTTCAAATCTCATGCATCAACATCGTAGTCTATATAAATACTTCAATTATCATCTCTTTAATAGAAATCAACTCTAACTTCAATGAAAGTGAATCGGATTCCCAATATGTGGCTTTTACCTTCTTTTTCTAATTTCAAAACATAAGTCTTCAAATAATTGAATTTCCCTTTTAAATGAAGTATCAAGGTATAAATTTATTCAAAATACAACTTTTAATGTTTATTTTATTTTATTTTATTTTATTTTGGTTTTATATACATATTATGGTCGTGCAATGCTGAAGTCCCTTAAGCTTTCTAACCAACCCATGTAGCAAGCGTTAAGCTAGCA